ACTAAGGTCAGTACAGAGGTAATACCTTGTTTCCTTAATAGGAGCATTCCATGGCAAAAATGTGCACCGTTTCAGTGAACCCAAATTATTTTCATAGCAGAAATTTCATTTTATGGATGATTTCTAGGCAGATTTTCCATTTCTATGAGTCTTGGCTTCCTCCTGTCCAATAAGATAAATGACTTTGCGGCATCCTTTTGCAATTTTGACCATCCACATCACATTCATAACATCCAAGACAACACTTGAGATAATCCAGGCGCTCTGGGCTGCAAATCCTAATCTCTGGAAACCCTCTGTTCCAAATGAAGAAATTACATGGCTGTAATATATAGGCATGACGGCAATCCTCACCACGAAGAACACAACTGTCATCAGCACACCATTGATGATGTTGGCTATGGAAGATTTGGGATATCCCAGTACTTCAAAAAACCACCTGCAAAAGAAGTGTCCACTGATACCAGGCAGACTTGAATCCATCTCATTAAAAATTCTTTTACTTCATGTTTATTTTTATAAATCATTTCATTTGTTAACAGTTTCTACCCTCATAATTTCTAAATTATTGCACTATGTCTTGGCTTAGTTGCAAATTCTTCTGCTTGGCTGTACTTTTCCCCCCACTAAGGCAGTGTGTGCAGGATAACACACAGAAAATCCTGATATGATTTGTAAGCCAGTCGACAACCAGTGTGCATTTCAGTGACTGCTCTGTAATACACAACAATTCATATTATCTTTTAAGTCATAAAGACAAACTTACCTGTTATTACAGTTTGTACCACTGGGCAAATAAAATTCTGTTTCCCTGCAAGCAATTCTAGAATTGTATTTGGATATGGTTATCTAGATAGAGCTCTAATTTCTCAGAATTGGGATTTTCTGACTACTTCTGCTCAGCCCAAAACCAGAACTTCAGAACCAGGCATTGTAAATGGCCCTCGATCATGTCACTGCTTGGAATGTTATGCAATGAAAAAAGATAAATCTAAAAACACCTTCTCCCTCCACTACTAGGTCATAAGTGGTTTTTAAACAAGAGTTCTTGCATATAATTCCTTGGTAGAGCAGCATAACTTATCCATTGCCTAGCACACAGAACCTGAGGGCTGAATGCCTGGAAAAAGGAACAACAAACTCCTCTTATTCTTTGTCATTCACACTTAAGCCAGAACAAACACAAGTAAAATTTGTGCAGCATTGGCAGGCAGAATCAGAAGAAAATAACTTAAGTCATCGTATTCATGATGGGGGATGGGGAGGAGAAGTGAAATAACTGGTTTATTTCCAATAAGATGAGGCTAAAATTACATAATGAAATAACAGTTCTAAAACTGGTTTTGAAAGTCATTTTTAATTTAATTACCTACAGATAACAACCTAGGTAATTATATATATACTAAAAAGATTTGCCAGGCATCCAGCTCTAACAGAAACACTCCAGAAATTCATTAAGCATGCAACTAGGACAATTAAAATCCAGGCACAGGAGGTGACAGTCCAGCCCACAAGCAGGATGCCTCACCACACAAACACTCACTGGGATGCTGACAAGAGAGACCTGATATGTTTGGTCAGACTAGCAGTCAAAGCTGTACTTTCAATGGCATATACAATGCAGAATCAAAATCTAAAAAAAGCTTTTCAAATATACTGTGATGTGCCAATATAGGTAACTGGACATCTGCTTAGCAGCTCCCCTCTCCTAGCAAATTGAAAAAAAAAAAAAAAAAGTCTGTAAATCAGTTACTATTACAATTTTATCCACCACAGTGCAAAATTAATTACATAAATGCTGATACTGACATTAAAAGATCTAAATGCTTGGCATGGAGACAACCTCCAATTAGAGATCCCTAACAACACAGACAGGAAACACAGTCAGTTCCGAGATTAGAGTATCTTTTTATATTTTAATAATAGCTCTTTTGGTAATACTAAGAATGCAAACAAGAAACATAATGTAAGTCATTATCATTATCCATTACTTACTGTCTTAAGGGTCTGATTCTCTTCAAATTTAATGAAAAAAAAAAAGTTATGCACTAAGGAGATGACATCCCTTAGTGCAAGAGACTTTATTATCTCCTGCAGTATTTTCTGCTTTTCTGAGACAGCACTAAATGCCAATATTCAAAGACCCATGATCTCACCACAGGCATTTAAAAAATTAAAAAATATATTACTTTTAATAGTCAGATATATCACAGTACTTCCTAGCACCACAGTCTGAAAGATAAGCATCTGGGTAGGTACCACCTAAACCCAGGATGAAATCCTAGCTTGGTAGAAGTCAGCTAGGAGAACAGCCATTCACTAAGACATGAATATCAGTATAGAAACCTAGAATATAATATCACCTTTTTTCATTTCCTTAAATAAGTTTAAAGAAGTGTTTATTTCCTCTTCAGTTTCTCTGTGCACACAGAGCACAGGCTACACTAGACTATAATCTCCTACTCAACTGTGCTGGGTCAAATGAAAGCCAGGTCAAAACTCACTCTTCTGTAAGTCTGAGTTTGCCAAACTAATGTTCCAAAGGGATCTCAGCACATTTTTTTTTATTCTTAAGAGCTCTGCCAAATGCTACAGTCTCATAAAATATTTCAGTTTAGTCACAATGCAGTAATCAGTAATAGCCTGTCTGCAGGAGGATTACAGTTTCTATATGCCTCATCCTTTCTCTACCAGACACCTAGAAAACAGATGCCACATACATATAATCAGTAAAGTAGAAATACACCCCAAAAAGTATGGGTGAGGAATAGGCATCTGATGCTACACTGGAGGGAGAGGACTGCAGCACTGCTCTACAGCAAAGCCCTTCACCCAAGGTGAAGTCTTCCTGGGGCAAATCCCTGTCCCCAGCTGGGTCATGGTGGCTACAGAGTAGGGAGAGAGCCCACTCTCCCCAGAGCAATGTGAAACTCCACTGACAGCTTTCCCCTCCCTGCACTATGTGACATCATCATAGCCCTTTTCTGATACAGCAGCAAATCGAGTAGAAACACCATTAACCAGAAGCCATAGCAGGCTTTGACTCTCACTGAGCTCAGCCAAAGAACCTTCTGCCCCTTGTTTCTCTAATCACAAGTGTGAAGATTAACCACTCCAGATATCTAAATAGATGCTTTACCATTTTTCTAATTTAAGTGCTCAAAATAACTTCCAGAATTAGTTTTGAAGGTAAATAAAGAATATACATTTATATTATCCTATGTATTCATATGCATATATTAATATTGATCTGTTTATGTGCAATATTGCAAAATAAACTTCACATTATCTAGGGCAGTGCAATCCTATTCTAGGATTATGATTACAATGTTATCTTGTTTCTTTCCCTGGTCTATGATACCAAGGAAAAACCCATATTGAAGATTGCTTTATTAAAAAAATTAAATTAATATGCAAATGAACAGTATTCTATTTAGGAAATTTTTGCTTGGTATTTTCATAAACATTTGGCATTTCACATGAAGGCTGGTCTACCCTGAAAAGGAACTTGGGGGTAAAAACATTAGTTATACTGTTGCAGCCATAGCAGCAAAAAAGGCTTCCACATAGTAATCTGTAGTTCAATATAAGTAAATTCCCTTTCAGCAGACATTCAACAACTAAAAAAAAAACTTCATAAGTGACAGAAATAATAATACAGATTAAAATTTAAAAGAACTATGGAAAAATTCCCTAACCACTTACCGCTGATTGACAAAAGGAGTGGAGAACTCTGCAAGCAGACGGAAGTTTCCAAAATAAGCCAGGAGACCTTTGCTCTGGTTAGCAAAATAAAATAAACATACAATAATCAACGATGTAGATATGAAATTGTCCATAAAGTCTTCAAGTATACACCAAATGATACAACATTTCAACTTCTTTATTAAAACTGATTGTGAGTTTGCCAGTTCTGGACACTTTCCTTACAATTTCAAAATGAGTTTTATCACAAAAGCTGCAATTGTCCTTCAGGTGTCTCCAATCAGTAGCTTCTTTCTTTAAATAAATCTTTGAAGACTTACAGTTAAGTGGCCATGGAAAGCTAGCTAGAGAAGATCTGCACAACTAGTCATAGCTTATAATTATCATTATACTATTACTGTCTAAGAGAATTAAAAATATTATTGACTTCTCAATGTTTAAAAAGCCCAAACAGAGACACTGTGTGCTAAAGAAAAATCTCTATGCATTGTTTTAGGAACGTAATTTGCCAAATCAAAGACAAGTTCTCAGCTCTTATTTGACAGCAGAAAGGGCACGTAAAGCAAAGCCATTTCTTCCCTTCTCCACAGTGCAGGGCAAGCCTTTCCAGCAGCTCTGTCACAGTTCCTGCCATCCCTGTGGGTTGGAAGACGAGCCACGGCAGTACCCAGATAACCACACGGTATATTTACACTGATACATGCTGTAACCGAGCACTTTCCTCCATGTGACACAGTACAACATATTCTCTGCCTTATCGTTTGGTTGTGCTGGAAATAGTATCCCGTTGCACAATGGCAGGGAATAAGCAGCAGTTTGCAGATGTAGAGATAAAAAGATTACTTTTTGTTACATTTCCCTATGTTTCCTGATCGACCTATGGAGTGTGTGTCATGATCCCTCTTTCCCCAACGACCATGCCAATACCCAACTACTTCAGGCTTTTCATGTCAGTTTATACTACACCAAACAGAAAATCTGTGCACCATCAAATTCTTTCCTACCTTCAAGATGAGTTTTGGAAGTAAGATACTTAGGAGAAACTTTCTCTGAAGAGAATGGAATGAGAGTAACACACTGAGATCCAAGGGCAGAGCTATATACACATAGTAACAACTGCTTTAAAAGAAGTTCACACTAACACTGTGCTTTCTGTTTACTCCAGAAACAGCTAATGAATTTTCTGCATCAGGGATTAGCCTTGGTAGTGGTATTTTCATTTATCTAACATTCAGCTCTAATTCACTTTCATCCATGATAATATTAGTAGATGTAATTATCTTCAACCCGAAGCAGAGTATTTACTTGTCAGTGTACTTCAGCCCCTTTAAACCATTACATGGAAAATCTGACAGTAGTCTGGCATCTTGACACTTTTAATATTGTAAGCCTGGGATTCACACAGTAGGCAGGGAAGGAAATGTGGTAAATTAATTAAATTGTATTTTAAAAGATTTCTTTACTGAATGAGCCTTTCAGAAGAAATTCAGGAGCATTATTCTATTCTGGACACCAATGAGATTACTACCAAGTTAGATGGGCACCTTTGAGGATTTCAGCAGCAGCAACAAAGAGAATCTTAGTCTTTATCCTATAACAGTATCCTTCTGTTCCCCTTTTCCCTTCATTATATGTGAACCACAGATATTTATGGACATACACAGTTAATGGTCTATTGTTACCCCGACAAAGTAACCTTAAACAAGAAGTCTCAGAGGGTCACTTTGTTGTAACAGCTGAAAACAAAAGAAAAAGGAAAAGGAAAAAGGAAAAATAAAATACCCCAGAAAAACTACAACCAGGTCACTGTAGTACTTTCACCAGAGATAAGGATCATCAACCTATGGCCTTGAAAGTACAATCATAGAATTATTAAAGTTGCAAAAGACCTTTAATATTGAGTCCAATTGTTAACCCTGCAGTGCCACATTCACCACTAAACCATACCCCCAAGTGCCATATCTGCCCATGTTTTGAACACTTCCAGGGGTGGTGATTTCACCACTTGCCTTGGCAGCCTATTCCAGTTCCTGACCACCCTTTCAGTGTAGAAATTCTTCCTAATATCCAACCTAGACTTTCTCTGGCACAACGTGAGGCCAATTTCTCTTGTCCTGTCACTTGTTACCTGGGAGACAGAAGCAGAACATAACCACTTGAAACTATTTCCTTCTAATTTTCCAACTAAATATTCAAGCTCATGGTTTTATTTACAACCCTTTGCTATAACCATATGAAAAGCCCTTCTGTCAAAGACTTTACAGCAAAAACTGAGAGGAGCTTTCACTTCAGCAGTTAAAGCTGAAGGAGTGTAACACTGAAAAGGCATGCACTTACCTCAAATAACTGATAAAAACATTTAGAAAGAATGATGATTAAAAGTATAAATATGTCTTTTATTAACCAGTGAAAAATTGTTTAAAACACTAAGCAAATGAGATCTATAAAAGCATTGTCTTCAATCTGATCTGCTTATGTTACTAGAAAATACAGCACTTACCAGTACAAAATAGTAAGCATACAGAGCTGCCAAGTGATGTATTACAAAAAATTTGTCACCAATTGCCTTCCAGTAGTAAATAATAAGTAACAGATCTACAAGAGAACAGAAATAACTATAAAGAACAATTTATTATACAACCATTGACCTGAGAATTGTTTCCCTAAGTTTTCGAGCTATAAAATGCCAAAATATAGCATCAGTAGAAACTCTGAATTAATTACCTCTGAAGAGAACATCTTTATCCTAAAGACTTTAGTAAAAGCATTAACTGACAGTATTCTCCCAACAATTGCCATAAATGATTCGTTTCCACATCAATGAAAGTACAGGGGCAATAGCTTTAGCCAAAATAATTTGGAAGGAAAAAGTATACCCTGAATTTACACTTATGACCCCCAAAATCTGGAACAAGTGACAGAACAAAACAAGAAAAAAGGCAGGAGAGTCTGCAGGGGACATAGCAAATACATAAATACATGCAACAAATGCAGGGATCGATTAATGGGGAACTTCAGAATCAAAAAGTAGTTACATTAGCAAAGAGGAAACCATTTACCAAAAGTATTTTGCAAGAGGCACTTGGAATGAGAACCATATTTTCTTTACTTAATCCAAATTTTCCAATTACTGCAAATACCACATAATGGACCTGAGTTAATGTTTTAAGGAAAGCTTTAACAGAAAAGTTCTTTCTTCTCCTATGATGGTCTGAGATTTCAGAAGATTTTATTTTCTGTACTGGAACAAATAATTTCTGCCCCTACTTCCTCCAAATGAATCTTTGGACTGGAATATTATGATCAAGGTTCCAGACCAAAGATTTTACCCCTGTACCTTTTGTATCTCCAGGGTGTGCCTTGATCTCTTTTATATTAGCTATCCTCAGGGAAGGCTCTACATCATCTGACATAGCTGCTCCACTTCCTATTAATAATTAAACATCAACTATATAAGGAAGTGAGAAGGAATGAGTGGCCAGGTTGAGATCCCTGTTCAAAGGCATTCATTAATTCATAATGAAAATCTATGCATAATTATTCAAAAATAGATACTGATTAATTTAAACATGGGAGCTGAAGTTATGGAGAATCTAGAGGCTTAAACTAACCCACAGTTTAACTGAGTGTGCTGGTCACCAGATTATCAGTTTCACTGGGGTGAGAAATCTAGTCTGAGATAATGAAGTCCATGGCCCAGGCTCTGACCAGAGACTTCATTCTAACATGAGAAGTTTTCCCTGAAAATAGTCCAAGTCACAACAATTTTTGCTTTGGTAAGTCAATATGATCCCCATAGAACTTAAAAGAAAGCTCCAAAGCATTTTGTAGCAAAATTCCCATGCCAATTTTAGCTGACAGCAAAATTGAGAACATAAAACATATGCAGGGGTAAATAATTAAGAATTTCTTTGGTTTATACATTACAAAATTTTGGCTTAAAGTAAGACTAAACGATGGGCAGGCAGGACCTATGGCATCACTTGCCTCAGCTTGTATTGAGGGTTACTAAATTCTTCTGCCAGCATTCTGAGGTCACAGGAAGAAACATATGATAAAAGAGCTGTAGACACCCTGAAGGGAGCAATGAGCACTGCTCTAACACCACCTCAACTGGCCAAAGGACAAAACTGAGCTGGAGTTGGTGGTTGCATATCAAACTACCATAAAGCCACACAGGGGCATTTCCTCAGTGCATGGGGTGATATTCCATCTTTCATATCTGCTAGCAAGATCCTGTGATTTCACCACAACCCACAACTCCATTAGCAACTTTAAAAGCCACAGTAGAAACTGTATCGTATGCATATATCACATCTGCAGCTTAGTAGATTAGTATAAACATATTAGTATAGTGACTCAACATAAATATATAGGTCGTGTTTGTTACCAGAAATGAGGTAGCCTGTGGTAATAGCAATATTCAGCTTCACAATTGAAGGGTCACCCCTGTAAACATACCAAAAATACATAGTTACAGCCTTTATAACACAGTAATTTGCAAAGGACATACACATATCAAACACAATGTCCATCAGATCACCTTATTCTTGGCCCATCATAAAGGTATTAATGTGATCTGGTTAAGAAAGGTTCCAGTCATAAAAATGGATCCCTTTTCCACCCAGATAAAAGACATCTACTAACTACCCCAATCAGCATCAATCCCTGCTTTGGTGTAGTGACTGCCTCAAGAGCCTTGCTAGAGATCAGAACTGAAACCCAGCAAATACTCTGAGCTGGCTTCTCTGAAAACTGAGGATGAAAGAGGACAGCCCAGCCAGTGTCTCCTAGCCCTTTAATTGACACTCTGTCTCCATTTTTGTTTTCTGCCAGTGTTAAAACTTTAAGGACTACAAAAATATCTCACTCAGCTGGTGCTTTTCATATTCATAATCAGATGGATGCTTATAGGGATAAGCAGAGTAGGAGGAGACATGAAAGGAATTATTTGCCAGTTCTTTGGAGCCAAGGAACCTTCAAGCAGAAATGCTTTTCAGAGTAGTTTCACACCTTCTGTCCCTTCCCTCTTTGTGCCAAACATTCAGCAGGCAAAGCTCTTAGTAGCACACACACAGCTTCAGTTCCTCCAGGATGTTCAACAAAGCCAAACTTGTGAATACAGCTCAAGAAAGGGAAGGATCCACATTACACCAAGCAACATTTTTTTCCTCCACTCTGCTTTGAGGAGTTTGCTAAGCAAATCTCTTTTCCTTGGCATAAAGATCATAAATTATTTTTTTTAAAGTTGTGCAACTAATCTCGCTATGTTTGTGTAAGTATGAATTGAGCTTCAGGTGACAGGTCAACAGATTCATAAAATGTGGACTGCTCAAGACAAGCTGTGAATGCAACCTTTGTTGTAAACCTTCTGAGAAAAAAAGAAAGTAACTGTGTTTACAGCCTCTTCCAATACAAAGTCTACCTCAGCCAGAAAACAGTAAAATGCTACTACTTAGCTATTATTTCTTAATCCTGTTGGAATGAAACAGTGGAAGAGATTTCCTGTATTATTACAATCGGTTCACTAAATTTTAAGGCTTTTTAGTGTCTAAAACTAACTACTTCCCTGAGTGAGAGGGTAGCTTATAGGCAAATAGAGAGACTCACAAAACCTGAATTCTGCTGTTAGGTGAATTAAAAACATTACCAGGAGAGTCTGGAGTTCACTCCATCTGTTAAGACTGGCCATAGAGGCTCTCTTAACTACAGCCTGGGTTAGGAACATTTTTCCATGGCTTCAAAACCTGATTTCATGAGCTACATAGGTTGTGGGCAGAGTGCTTCTTTAGGTTTAGACATGAAGCAAAGACAAATGTGTTCTCACAACTTCAGCAGAAACTCTTTACATAGTTACAGCCCTCCTGTTAGAGCCCCCAGCTGCAGCAACATCGTAACTGAACTTCTAAGTGGTCCCAATACACTTCAGCATATGAGCACCATGTCTGAGCCTGCGCTCAAGAACCTTCATACTCTTCTCCAGAGAAGATGCCAAGGACTGAGCCTATGCAATTAGTTCCTTGATATTAGTAAGCATGACTTAACTGTATGAGAAGGCAATGGTTTGCTTCCCTTCTTTTTTGCCATGAGAATGGTCACTTTGCAATAAACTTCTAGACTTTCTACACTTCAACACATATGGCTGCATTGTCCATCCATCACATCCCTTCAAGAAGAGTCCATGTTACAATGCCAAATTAATCTCAGTAGTCTAAAATATTCTAGCTTTCATGATCTATCTCCTTGAATGGAAAGTGCAATGGAGTTAATGAACCCTGATGTTTGCAGCCTAGTTTTGATGCAAGCAAGAGCCAGGAGTGAGAAACAGGGAGTGACTTGCATAAGTAAACAGGAAGAGCTATCTCTCTGGTGATTGCTAAGGAGGTGTGTGGCAAATGAATTACACATGAGCATGCACGGGCAGATAGAATAAACAAAAGTCCACGACTGACTTTCTTCAAACTTTTTTTGCAGATACAGAGTCATATAAAATGCCAGTCAAGAATCAGACTTGAAAAACTGTAATGACTGTAAAGTGAGCAATCATAGGAAAGGACCTGCTCTTCTGTGAAGCTACAACCTAATTCACTTATTTACATCTTGTCCCTCTCCTTATCTGATCTCTACCACCTCCACACTTTCTACTGTGTGATTCTCACCACAAGTGTTTCTTGTATTGTTAATAAGAGATTCCTACAGAAAGGTTTATGCATCCTTCATGTCTGTAAATGACCAAGTTCCACAACTTATAAGGGCATTGGATTTCCAGACTGAGCAGCCTTGCAACAGTCCATCTGGCATTTCCCATATAATTTGGCTTTTTTTCCTCTTCAGTCTTACTCAATAAAAATCAAGACCATGTGGATTCAGCTACAAGTCAATGTAAAAATGATAATCAACTCAAGACATGTGCAGCTAAGCCGTAAAACAGACTGGGGAAAAAATTTAAAGCTCTACATGGTCAGCTAAGGATTTAATTACTGTGTACCAGGAACCCACATGACATATGGGGGACTGCACAGACTAATGCTAGCCATCTCCATTCTTAAGAGTAATGTAAAAGTCAGCTGTAGAAAAAAATATATATCTGCAAATTCTAAGGAAACTGCCCTACAATTCTGGCTTCACTGGCAGAAGAAAACCTCGCAAAGTTATATTTCTCACAGGCTGTATACAAGTGCTTAGAAAGCCATGGGCAATACTATGTTTGGCTTTCCTTTGCACTTAATCACTTGCATGAACATGAATTCAAATCATTGGAACTGTTTTCAATACACTGTGATACTTCATGCATTTTAACATTTAGTATAATCACTAAAAATACTCATTTCCACATCCCAAGTGTGCTATGTGCACTTTTAATTGACAAATTCCTGAAATCACCAAGATAATTTTGACCAAGAAATAATTTATAGTAATACTGCCATGAAATAAACCTGAAGCTTTGATTTAAAACACACAGATCAGATATATTTCCACTAGATTTCAAAGTTGTCCTTCCTGTAACAAATGTAAATAAAACCATATCCAAATAAAAAATATTTGGAAGCAATATTAGAAATATAGAAAAAAATCCCCAAAGACAAAGGATTTTGTCTTTTAAGACTTAATGTTATCACATAACCTAGTATCTAAGGCTCCATAAGTAATATTAAGTTTTCAAAGCATTATACAAAAATATGTATCTTTGCATACTGCAACAAAAAAGTTGTCAAACTTACTAAGAACAAAAGTGGTTTGATTTCTGCTTAATTTGAATTTTTCCTGGAATTACACCAGAAAACATAGTAAGTGTGAAGACTGAATTTATTTATCATCACCAAGAGGCTTTTATTTCTGCCATTTATGACTTCTTTTGTACTGTTTAGAACAAGGTCTACACAAACCAGGATAAAAGCTTCTATCTGATAAAGTTTGCAACACTCACCAAGAGAGCCATAATAACATGCTGCTTTTCAACATGGTTAACATCTCATAAGATATTCAGACTGTAATTGATGCCTCTAAAGATATCAGAATGCAATCAAAAAATCCAGCCAACAATTTCATCATATCACTACATACAGAAGAGACCAGTGTTGCCTAAATTTGTGTTAAGCAGTAGTGTTACAGTTATTAAAGCCACAGAACAGGTCAGTGGCAAAGCCCCCAATCCTGTCTAGTCCACACTATATTGCCATTAATTTGCAGTGTCATAAGAGTAGAACAAGCATCAGACACTAAATTCCTGTGAGTTTGAACTGACTCCTAGTGTGGTCCTTTGATGTGGTTAGACACAACAGTCTATGAGTGAAAAAAGAAACAAAACTGAATGTAATTAGCTATTCTTCAAGAAAAATATGGTCTCCTCCTTCTACCAGGAAAGTGTTCCAGAGGATAATGAAGTGTCAAAATATCAACAGCAATCTATAATTAACTCAAACAAAATGAAGCCATATTCTTCCTCCTCCTCAAAAAAAGTGCGGAACAAAACAATGTAACTACAAAACAAGAAAATATAATCTTACTATAGAATATCTGATTAAGTATTTGCATTGCTTGTGACGTGTTTACCACTTGAAACTTTCCTACTTCTGTTAAAATGAAGATTCATGGGAGCTTCATGCGAGGCAGAAATATAAACATCTTCATTTATCAATTTCAATACACATTTTACACGTGTAATAGACCACCCCAGCTTACACACACACACTCCAGATCTGCAACAGCATTTCAATTTCACTTTAAAAGGATTACAGGAAACAGCATTGTTTCAGTCATACTGACTTAGAGTCACGGTTACACTCCTGATTCTATGCTTTAGTAATTTATTATGTTCTTTCAAATCAATTGCTTGTATTTTATATATTCCACTTCAGAGACACATTGCACTAAGACATTAATACCAACAAAATAATTATCAAATTATCAAATAGTACAGATATAGAAATGGACACAACACAACTGCATATTTTAATGGAAAATGAAACAATTATTTCAGTAGCTGGAATGCAGAATACACTGCAGGATTTTCTTTCTTCTCAGTTACGCTATTTTATGGTGTAAACACAACATATATGTAACATGCCTTACCAGAGACGGTCAGCATTAACAGCATCATCATACAATAAAATATATAGGCAAAACCCTCCAACTACCAAGGCATGGAATGTGGACACTGTCCTGAAAAAGAGATCACAGTCACAAAGAGGTACTGCCATTCACAACTTGCTATACTGTTCTTAAGGCAGGATGTTTCCAAAGACATTCTCAACTGCATCCAGATACTTCTGTAGAAGACAATCATCTGTTCTTTACACTACATCCAACCATGTACATGACATGGAAAAATAGTCAAAAAAAAAAGATTAGATTGGAGCAGGAAGAGGGAGCAGTATTAAATAGAAAGTAGGGTCTTAAAGTAACTGAGATCTAATTTTTCCTCCAGTTATCCCAGAAACTAATGGATCCTTAAAGACAATATGACATCTAGTTCTCTAAAAAAATGCTTTCTGTATTGTCCCATTTTCTGGAAAATTTGTATGCAGTTCATATTGAGATTGTCTTATGATTCCTGCAGGTTTCTCCTTTCAGGCACCAACTTAATAGATGACCTATAATAAGCCTGCCAAGTTCAACTTTGGGAAGGGGCATTAGATGAAAAATTCCATCAAGGAAAGTTTCAATAGAATTTCTAGGGCATTTGAAGTAGATTCTAGTTTTCAAAGAGAAAACTTGTATAACAAAAGATACCTGGTGTGTGATAGCTACAGGTTCATATGAACTAGCAGCTCCAAGCCTTACTTTATTTCATACATCTTTTGTCTCATATAAAGCCACAGATTTCAGAGTTGCCTTGTCCCTACGTGGGTACTACACAATTGTCTTCCAAAGACAGCTCCAGTCTCCAGTGTACAGGCTGCATGCACACTGTAGATAAACTCTGCATATTAACAGCACTTAAAGAGAAATACCTATTTACAGAGGCCCCAGCAGGGTTTCTGCCAGCACACAGGCCAGGGCTACTCCTGCCCTTTTGAGTCCACATGTATTCTTGGAAGGTAGAACAATGCAACAGGCATGAGTCCCAAATGTGTAACCTTGCTCCTCTAGCCATGAGGTTTAGCACTACTATAAACTGCATCTAATACTGTGCAGCTACTGTCTGCTTTTCCACTTTTCAACTGTGACTAGTAGGGAGAAAAAAAAAAATTATGTGACGAAATAGCTGTACTGAATCATGGATATTATCTGAAAGATGAGAACTAAGTTCGATGCTGTGAGATGGAAACACTTCATGCCATATTCACAGCATTACCAACATGTACACAAATGTACAGATGCTGTTAGTTATTAGTCTTTGTATATACTGAATACATGTATTTGGAAGTCATTAATATTTTAAATGTCCTTAAGTCACTCTCAGGAGTCTAAACTCTACCATGCAAGATTTGAAGAAAATATCCTGTGGAAGATTTTGCAAAGAAAGAGTAGGTTACAATCCCTTCTCTGTTTCCAGAAATTATATTACAATCTACTGGCAATAGAAGATCCTGTAATTTTTCATGAAAGAAGACTCTATTTACAATTTGTTTAAAGAGTGCTATCATGTTCTTTTCAGCATCTTTTTCAATGGTGTTCCAGAAAATGAATGGAAAGTAATACAATATGAATACTCCAACGTAAGAAGCTGGATGAGAACAATTACTAACCCTTATAGCAGAGGCTGCCCTTACCTCCTGCTTTCTTTTTTAACAAATAAAGAAAATTTAGTTATCAGAATTTTAATGACAACTAATAGTTTCATTAAAATGTCTATTCTTGTAATACAGCATTGAGATAGGAACTTTGCTTGCTTTTTCAAAACAAAGCATGGCATGCAATAGTAGTTCTTGAGAAATACCTGGAATTTTTGAACTTGAGGAGAGGACAATGCTGCAAGAAGAAAAATGTGTCCTAGAATACAGATCATTAGTTTACAGTTGCAGTTTGTCTCAGGAGTAACTGTTTATCCAAACCTTAGTGTTTAGAATACAAGCTATACACAAGCACAGCACTTGAAAGGGGAGAAATAAAAGGAGAGGGAAAGAAAGAAAGAAAAAAGAGCAGATTTCCTCCTCCTTAACTCTGGACTTTGAAGTTTCTCCATAGAAGATGGGACAGAAGAAGGGGAAATAGTACAACACTCCATTTTAATATGGAATTTAGGTCAAGCTATCAAGTTCCGTACATTTCCTTGAAATGACTGTCAAAGTTTGCATCCTTTAACTCCTCATTAAACTGCAAAAGAAAAAATGTTGCACTGTTGCACACTTGTTCCTTTATTTGTGAATATGGATATATATTTTCACAACTACTGAATAGCAGTGCAAACATGTATTATAGGAGAGGTGACAGGAATTTGTGCACAAGAACTGAAAGAGTTATACTACATCTGTATCAAAGTGTAGTTTTTGACTCATTTTGAGTGTTGGCATACTTAAGATGCCAGAAGCAAGTACTTTATTGGTACTCAGTTCCTGAAAGGTCAGAATGAACAAATTGACAGCATAGAAAATACAGTCCAGAGCTGCAGCTCAAACGTTTCATTACAAAGCCCTCCAAGCTGTAACAATGTATTTTCAATGCTACAGCTCATTTCAGGCAGATGCCCTCTACCAGACCCAGCTGAGCTGATAAAAATGCATAACCATCCTCTGTGCCAGTTTCCTGCAGGACTGCCAACAGAATCATTTGTGTGTGCACTCCCTACACCAGTTCAATATAGGGCAAAACAACAACCATCTACTTTTAGGTCATTTAAGTTAACCAACTCATTTTAGTGGGAGATCGCAACTCTCTCTATCTGCAGAGCTGTCTGCAGAATGAATATAATCCATCTACATCCTCTGAACTTATAAGTTACTCCTTGAGGTCTTTCTTCAATTTGGTGAAATACTGGAATGACAAGGCAGTTTGACAAAACATTGTGTTTGGTTAGCAGAGCTGAAGTAACACAAGCACAGTTAACCTTTCTTTCACTTCATGTCCTCCTCAGGTATAACACACCAACAAGTTGCTGATGAACCATGTTTTCTGTTTCATGCCTTCTAACTCCAGAACTGGATGAAGCCCAGGATCACAACCCAGCTGTATGCTAACGTGGAAAGAAGTAAAAAAGGACAAAGTTGATGCCTGCTGCATCAACTTAAGCAGTTAAACACCTTACTACAAAGTAGCCCAGATATTTTGGAGCAGCTTATTTCCAGCACACTTGTGATGTGTGAAACAATTCATATGTTATTATGCAAAGCACTACACCAGCATACCACTACCAGGCATGGGGTAAGTTCTCATAAAGCCTGTTTTGCAATTCAAGGGCCACTTGATGTGGCTTAGATACAAAAGTTCAGCTTCAAAAGATAACAGTTTAGTTTAGTTTCCTTGTTTGCCTCTACTGCCAATTATAACAGTGAGATAAACCTAAGCTGCACTGATATTGTGAACTGCTATCCTACAGAGTTGTTCTGGCAGACAGGAAACTATTCAAAATGAATATGAAGATGGTGCCTTTAAGAACATCACAAGTGGACATTTGCCAAATGGAAGGGCAAGACAATTTGAGTTGCTAATGCTTTCTAGAACAATGGAAACAACTTTAAAAGTATCCACCTGATATGACACATAAACAGCACTGAGGAGGAACAGCTGTGCAGCTAACGCATTTTGAGTGCCATGACAGCCATACTGTACACATTGCTGAGCTTCAAATTTGAGCAACATCTGAAAAAAATATCTTAAAGTTGCAATAGGCTACTCAAACAAAGTAATACTGCACCAATTCGTTTCAACTGAAGAACCTTGTGCACTATATAGGCGCTTTCAGAGCAGTATATTGCAAATAAAACCTCACTGATCATCCCATTTGTAATTACTACCCTATACTTCCTTTATGGCTTAAGAGAGAGTTAAGCGTCCAGGAAAGACTCACAGGATTGAACAAGTTTCTAACAGTGCACTAAGGAGACGAGTGTAATGCAGGTGCATCCATCTCAGTACTGGAAGTACAGAAACACAGAGGGAGTGAGAAAGGGTTTTAGATTGAATTTCCACAACTCATTCCTGAATATGTACCCTGGGTCTGCACAGCTTCCCCCCATCTCTGCCCCCATCAACACACAAATGTATATGTCAAATCTGACTCCTTCAATACTACACCAAAACTTCATTAAATTCCTTGGAAAACCATAACTTATATAAAACAGTTTGTAGTGTAGTAACACTGGGAGAACAGAAAGCAAACTGCTTTGCACCCAAAAGCATGACCAGAGATACACTAGCATTTTGATCATGGAATAAAACGCAATAGTTTTTATTTTCAAGTATGTTTGGAAGAAAGGAATTTTGTATCTCTTCACTCGAAGCATCACAGAGCATCACTTCAGCTTGTTACCTCTCACCAGTCACTGCTTTTTTTTTCCTAACTCACTTGAGCATCACTGTCTAACAAAGCCTTTAATGTACAAGTGCTTGCAATGCTGTGTGTTCATGAAGGGGCCTCAACATTTTACACACAGAATTTGTCGAGTGCCTAGAGTTGGCCCTCTGATCTTTACAGATGTTCAACTAATAATGTTTTCTGCAGTCTTATATGTACACACACAGGTGGTTCAGGTGTTGATGATTTCGGGTAGTAGTTTGTTTTGAACACTCTACCTTGAATTCCATTCGATCTTCCTTTTTTGGCTGAGATTGTTATAACCAGGTGTTATTCGTGTTGACACCCAAGAGCTTAAAACATGGAACAGGAGCTGAAATACAGTAAAACTGGCAACAGCAATGCCAATAGTCAGGTTGCTGAAGGAAGCCATTGTTCTTCAGCCTGTGAAGAGAAGCAGAAGGTAATTTCAGTCCGGTCTACATTTAACTATTTTAAGCAGACACAGAATGTGTTTTTGACAACTAATTTATCAACAGAAATATTATTAATTAAAAGTTTCAACCTGTTCAACTTTTCTACTTAAGTCTTAATAGTACAAAATGATACCCAAACCTGTATATGTAAAAGTTGCATTTTGCTTTTATGAACATTTGCATACTATACATTTTTGTGGCCTAAAATTGCATGTATTTTATCTACACAGAACGGCCAGGGAAGACCACTGACCAGTGCAACTGCCAGCTCTGCAGCTACCACTCCTGTCCCAAGAAGCTCCAAAGTTAACTCATCTTATTCTTACCAGATTGACTGTTGCTAATGGGGTTTTAAAATGCAACAATGAAATCAGATAAGCACAGTAGAGAGGTTTTCAGGTCAGCCTCGGAAAGCAATAGCCTCACTGGAGCTTTCTGTTTGTATGCTTTACCAAGACAGTAGTTCTCAATTTGCACTGTGTTTGCAGTTGAGAGCTTCTCCTTGTGATAGTGTGTTGGCTATCATATTTCAGCTTTTCTCTTCTTCACGAAAAGTATAAGCTTCACACAATTTCACAGCACACTGAAAAGCTTCCTATCGTCAGAGCTAACACACTTTTTAGTTGCTGGATGTTTAGCTATTTCATGAGGTCTAAATAAACAGCTAAGCAATTCCAAACATAAGTGTCAGTCTCTAAATGTCATTTCTCCTAAGTTGCCAGTATTTGCAAGACAGAATGATATTTTCCCAGAAACCACAAACTTCTGACATACATTTCTGGTTTGATGGTGAAAAGCTTTATACACCAAGACTGGCAAAGGTTACAAACTCATAAAAAGTCAATTTATATTAAGTCAAACACACACAGGGAAAAAAAACCAAAATACTTCATTTCAAATATTTAAATAATGTTTTAAATATCTATTCAAATAACTGCTGTCATTTATTTTAGTTTTATTGAAGAAAATATCTAAAAATAAAATAAAGACTTATAGGATCACATAATTTGAAGTCACTACAGCAACCTAGTGGTCAGCAAAAACTACTACAATTACATAATATGTCCACCCTTATTTCACATGCATTACAGAATGAGTGAACAAGCCTTAGATTTCTGAAATTGTATCTGCATTGCAGATGGTAAGAAACTTGAACTTCGGGGGGGGGAAACAGAAAGAAAAGTCCACCAGTTAAAATAATAACTTTTTTTAAAATTTACTTAAAATTTTCTCAGTTTATGGTGTAAATGGTGAGTATATTGAAATACCTAGATCAAGAAAAAATACTTTTGTTTTCAAAGATTTAGAAGCAGAAGGTTCAATGATCTCAAAATTTTCCCCCTCACCTCTTTTTTTTCTATTTACTCTCCCTAGAACTGAAGAGTAAAAAACTTCCTCTGACTAGTACCCACAGAGCTACAGTTATATAAAAAGAATGCAGGACAAATAAGAGCAGATTTGATGAGTGAAACCTGCAACCATGTCATATGGATTTCAAGTGTTTACTTCAGACCAGCTTTAATCCTGTCCTAGGGACTCCACATTTCTTAGAACATATT